GAAGGAAGGACGGAAGGAAGGAGGGATGTAAGGTTGCCCGATGGGTTGGGAGGGGGTGAATTGCGTAGGGGACGGCTTGCCCGTCCTCCTGATTCACGCCGCAAAGGACGGTATATGAAGGTGGACTATTGCCCTTGAGCATCTTGCTAGTTCGTTCTAAAGCGAAGATTTTCAGAGGTCGAAAATCGCACGCACGAGCAATGCTGATGTATTCTGGTGGCGTGCAGCTATTGATGCTTTCCCATACCGCATGTGCTGACCCGTTGCGGTTGTTGTGGTTCTATGGCTCAGATATTGAACCATACAACGAACATCAAGTCTTGAAGCACCCATCCAGAAGAGCAGTCGTAATTTATCATGTAGGACGTAGGACAGGTGGCATCGCTATGTAGCATAATTCAGCATACTGTGACACGTAACGAACAAACGTTGAGCTTGCAATCTTAAGCCAATCGTGATGGTATCCAAAATTAGTGCATGGTAGATAATGAAACAATAATGCAAAAGCCATGTAAGGATAGCTGTGTGTGGTGCAGAGGCTCGAGGGCATTTTTACAGGTCAATGCGTACATGTTGTCGCATCAATCAATGTATGACAAGTAATCGCTTAAGTCACAGTTGATATGCTTTCGATTCGAGCCTTGCGTGATTGCAAAGTACAGCATGTGTAACGTCGGTGTTGTGGCCTTCTGTGCTTTTGAAGGCTCATGAGCCGACGACGCGGTGCGTTCTCAGCATTTGAGAAAACTGCCAGTCAGGCCGTGGACCCATCTGACAGCCTTTTGTTTCGTCTGATGTTCGTTTCACGAACCTTGAGTTCGATCACCATCCGGTGGGTTGTGAGATTCGACGTTGCAGTCATGGGGTCACGGTGTAGCGCCGTAGTTCCTGTCAGGACTTCCCTCGTTTGAGTAAGCTCCATGCCAAGTCTGGCACTGCATGTTTGCATGTTTCTGTTCACATGACTCGTGACTGGAGCAGGCAGCGGCTGCCAGCCAGTCGAGTCAGCCCGATGTAGCCAGGTCTTTCCAATGGGGTCATTGCTTGTCAGACGGTTGTTCACTCAACAAAAACATCGTCAGGGAATTATCGATTCAAGTGGGCGCTGCACGTGTCAGGACGCCTGCAGTTTGCATTTAGCATCAGTTGGGCGATCGTTCTACATGGGTAACTTGCACAGGAGAGGTCCTCCCAAGTCTCTTTCTGTTCATGAGGTGGCGAACCCAGGAGCTTCGAGATACTTAGTTCCTATCATCTGCGCTGGCTGCGGCTCAGGCCAAGACACTGCTGGAGCCTGGAGCCGAGTGGAATGGAAACGGCGTGGCGGTTCGCAAGCGAGCGAAGTTCGCTTAGGTCTTTGCGATCCGCCAGTACCCACACTGACTTCCAGAAGGACTCCACAAATTTCCTGCAGGTTAGAAAGTTGCAACATTGGAACTGAAAGGCCCTAGTCAATCTTCGCGGCCGTGGATGGGGTGCTTTGAAGAAAAGGGAGGCGGTTCAGTCGGAGCCAGTCTTTCGGGACAATTTGGCACCACAGAACGGCAAGGCTGTGGCTCGCCTGTTGGGAATGGCGTGGAAAGCCCCACTGAAGGTGCGCCCTTCCCACGCTGATGTGGTTCTACAATTTGTTACGAAGCAGGCTGCTGGTTTCAGCATTGACCAGTGGGGATTTCCAGAGATGCTGGCAGCGGTTGGTGCCCGAGAACCTGCAAGCTGGACCACAATCCTTGCGTCCTGTGTGCTTGTTGTGCCCAGGTCCGTGTTCATCATGCACAGCCCGGCATCAAGACCCTCTCCGAGGAGATTGAGAGGCATCCGTCACCGCACTGCATGGAAAAGATGCATGCATAGCCTGAGATAGTGCAACGGATTTTCCTGCGCTCCTCACTTGAATTTTCGACGGTGGTCGGTCAAAGATTGAAGTCACAGGCAGCTTCGATTTCAGCCTGGAGATCTCTTTGGATCCAAGGCTGTGATTCATAGGAACTTCATCTTCCAGAAGTGGAACCCTTTCAGTACGACAGGCTGGAGCAATGAAGCAAACGTCTTCTGCGGCCGAAGCTGCTGCGGTTACGGAGGCGGAGGTGCAGGCTCACGCGTTGATGCTTTCTGGCATCGAAGGTTCCGAAGCAGAAAAGAATTGTAAGAGTCCAGGTCACAGTCACGCATCCCACCGATCGGGACTCCGTCGTGCAAGCCTGAGTTGCCGCGCCATTGGTTGCACCCATGATATCCCACGACGGTGGTTTCATGTGGCGAGCAGTTGCTGGCGGAACTTTTTCTGAGGTTGTGAATGTTCCTGGCAGCGCCAACATGAGGCAGGTAAAAGATGCCCTGGCCAGCTCCTTGAATCTGTCATCTGCTGCTTCCGAGTCAGTCAGTGCTCCAGCGGCGTCGCTTGCGCTCCAAGGCTCGAAAGCTTGGCCGGCCGGAGGTCTCTCGAAATGGTCGCGGTCTCAGTCGGGTTTTGCCAAACGATCAGCTTTTTCGTCAACTCAGGTCGCATGGTGGTTGAAAGCCCGAATGGCGCTGGTGTCTCAGAGTCTTCGACGTAGTTGATATGATCCGGTATTTCCTACAAAGCTGCCGGCATCTGCATGCTACAGCTGCCTAGGATCTTCTACCTGTCCCAGACAGCCAAAGGCACGTGCAAGAGTTGGTGGCGCAAGTAGGACCNNCTTGACCCTGAGCCACAGAGTTGGACCCGAGCTGCATTTGGCTGATCCTGCGAGGCTGGGCATGAAGCGACAGGTTTTCATCATGGGTGCCGTCCTGGGTTAACGGCTGCCGGCAGTGATCGACATATGTTGACGTACGTCTGCGTTCCATCAGTCAAGGCACTTCGTTGGCCACAACACCGGCGGCTGGCAGCTTTGCAAGCCAACCTGCAGACCGTGCACGTTTTCTTCGGCAAGTACACCGCTAATGGCAGTAGTAGT